CACACACACACACACACACACACACACACATACAACACACATACACACACACGCACACACATACACACATAAGACACATACACACACACTCACACACACACACACGCACACACACAAACACGCATACGCACACAAACACACGATTGACCAGCGCCCACGCTGGCTTGACTTACCAACTGTGCTGTCTAAGTAGTAGGCAGCACACTCCTCATCCAGAACCAAGTCCTGAACTTTCTGCAATAACACGGAGTGGTACACAGTTTCACTCACAGGGTTATATTGTTTTTAAGTAAGTGCTTTACGGCAATTACAAAACTATAAGGTCATATAAGTGCCGAACATTTGAGATGTTACATGAAAGTAAGAAACACATAATAGAAGGAGGATAGATAAGGAGGAGAAATAAGGAGGAGAGATAAGGAAGAGAGATAAGGAAGAGAGATAAGGAGGAGAGATGCTTGATAGGAAAGAAAGAGCAAACAACACAAGAGCAGTACACAGTCACTTACACTAAAGCTATTTGATGTTCATGTTTTTAAGTCCCATAGCTTCATTTCAGACCAAATTGGCAGAGAGCCTTGAAATCTCCGAAACAACCAAAATTCAGAACCCTTCATTGGGAATTCGAACCAGAGAACATATGGTCTGTAATCGAGCATGATACCAACTGAGATTACAAATTGCCCAACAAGAGAAACAGGCGAAAAAAAGATGTGAGAAATTGCATTGGCTTAATACCTCTCGCAACACTTTAAAGTTGTTTAAGAATTAGCAAGACCTCCGAGTTAAACGTCTGGGCCTAGCCAAATGGGACAATTTGTGTAAAGTGGCGAACGTCCCAAGACAGAAATTGAGACGAGACTACAAAGAGCTAACAGCGTCAGCTACCAGCTTGCCCCACTCCTCAAATACCCTAACATGCCCATTGAGACCAAAGCCATGCTCATTAACTCTATCTTCATCACCTCTTTGACCTACCAATGCCAGACACGGACCTTGACCAAAAGTCTGGAACACAAGATAAGCACCTGCCAGATAGAGACGTCTAAGGAGAGCCGTCAACAAAGCCAGATGGGACGTGATCAGAAACAACAGGATGAGAGAAATGATGGGAATAACACCTGTCCTCCACTACATTCAGAGACAAACAATCAGGTAGTTAGGATGGCACCTTAATTACCAGCTTTCCATTAAAGCGTACCTCAAAAGAAAATCGGGTTATAAGGCAAGAGAAAGAACAAGGAAGACATGGATCAAGGGTGTGAAGGATACCCTGAAAACGCCAACATCCCACCCAGCCAGACCATCCGGCTTGCTAGAGACAGAAAGCTCTTTCTCCCCTCGCGTCCTCGGAGTACAAGAGTAAGGATTATAAACTGAGTAAGTTAGCCTTTCTGAAGGACAAAACATTGGATTGAGCTGAGTCTCGAACCACCTTTCCCGCAATCTCACGATTATCCTGTAACCAAATCAAAAGAATATTATACCGACGCCCAGCAAAAAGCAACCAAATCAACCATAATAAAAACATACCTTTGTATTGGTGTCTTTGTTTATGGAATCTATGCAAATGAGATCGTCCAGGTTGGTCGAATCATAGTCTTGTGCAGCAATATAGTTGGAATCCGGACACTTGGAGACGCACACCTGAAGACGACAAATAATATAGCATTATTTTACCAAGCTTTCTCTTTCAACAAAAGCGAAAAATATACGTACGTAGGCCTTTTACCAGTAGAGATTTTGTACATTTCCACAAGAAAATGCAAATGACTGACACTGACACATACAAACACAAACGCACATGCATTTATAACGAGTTTCAAATAAACACAGCAGCGTAACAATGCACTAACGACAGATCTCATTATAGATCTAGTTGGGTTTTTTTTAACGCTGAAAAGGTTTGAAGCTTGACAGAACAAACTGTTGATTCTTTGAACATTACAGCAGGCCTAAATAATCCAAAAACCAAAGAACACCACATTTTCAATACTTTTCAATTTGCACACAATACAACAATCTTACAGCAGTCTTGTCTATTGCTTATTTTCAGTACAATGTATTAATTTACAAGTTCTTGCATAATATCTCCTGTTCATATTATGTTCCCTGACGATCACCCCTCCGCTTTTGAATCTAATGCATTTCTGCCAGGCTGTTGAATCCATCCTTTCATTTCAGATTCACAGCAATTTCAATTCTAAACACTTTCTACTTTTCTCTACCGCCTTATTTCAATCCTAAATGTCGGGACTCGAAATGAGGGATACAAAATCCCTGCGAAAAAAACGGAGACACTAGATAACATAAAAAGGCTTTCCCATGTTGAAATAGAATCTCGTCTTTTGCGTGCGACAGTGAAGAGCATAATAAGGCACTGCGTTATTGATGCTTGTGCATAAAAACGTAGAACTGGCTAATTGCACTAAACCAGCTTATGTAATATCAAAACCAGCCAAACCACCTAGAATAAAGCAGTTCATGTATCCCCTTCCCGGAAAAAAAAAAAGAATCACACAATATGGGTGCTGGGAAAAAATAAGAGGACAGACACACAGAAATAACAGAGGGAACGTAAAGTAGCAGGACCTACCAGTGGCGTCCTCCAACCACTACCTCAGAATTATTAGCTGTGGTCAGTGACGACTACAACATATATTAAAAATAGATGTAATCCATATTATGCATGTTCTTACTTGTGGCGTCGGGCATCCGTTGACGAAAACGCCAGGTCCCATTCGACCACACTTGACCAGATCGAAGAAAAAGAGGTAAGGCCTGTCCCTGTAACACAGAAGAGTTAATGTTACAAAACATGTATAATACTTAACTATAATTGTCTGTTTATTTGAGTTAAGAGAACCACATCGACACAATGATACTCATTTAGTGCTGGGAAAAGATAGGACAGATGAACATAAACAACAGAGGAGAGGCAAAGAAGTAGGACCTAGGCTTTCATACTCAGAGGAGCCCTCCAATCACCCACACAAAACTATTGGAGTGGGCAAAAAACAAAAAATGTAAACCAGCAGAGAGAGGGAGAGAGGGGGGGGGGGGTTAGGTTGCTAGTAGTTTAAATAATCTAGTCTACACTGAGCAAAGAGAGGTAGTTTTAGTTTTGGTAAGAGTTTTACGGCACTTGCAGCACAGTAAGGATAAAAATATAATAAAAATTCTGCCGAAAACTAGTAATAAACACAAAAGAAGGAAGAGAGATAAGGATGGTAGACGTTTGATTGGAAAGAAGGAGAAAACCACACTAGAGCACCCGCGAACCACCGGCGAGAAAAACAAAGAAAGACAGAACAAAAAACAACGTCAGAAAAAAAAAAAGAAGAAGAAGTAGGACCTACCAGTAGTGCCCACCCAACCACCTGTGAGCGAGGAGAGGCTAAAAGCCTTTCATGGAGCGTATAGAAAAAGCAAGGTGGGCAGAAACAACAGAGTTTTAATAAAGAAAAGAAAGGGGAACCAAATAGTTGCCGCTTCGCTTTATAATTCATTATCATCCCATCGGCAACAGATAGGTTTAACATTTGAAAATAATACATGTACATGGAACATTCACAGCTTCATTAGGAGTTTTCACCGAATTAAAAAATAAATTTTCTTTTTAATGTTGGTGTTTTGACGATCCATCGACACACTGACACAAAAGGGTCATAATTTAGTACAGAGGAAGAGTAAGACAAAGACAAGTCAGAGACAGTGGAGAGAAAGAAATAAATAGTACCTATCATCAGTGGCGCCCTACAGCCGCCCACGAAGAGACGGAGAGGTCGGGGAGTTGGAAATATTGATTAGAATAAAGAATAAATTGTTGGAAGGGTGAACCTAATTGTAATGCTAAGTTTTTAAGGTGTTGCTTCGATTCAGAAACAATGCCATGAAGGCCAAATCCCGGAACATACGAGATTAAAATAACGTAATAGTAATACATAGTAGTAAAGGAGAAGTCCACACCAGAGCACCCACCAACCACTCGGAGAAGTGAAGCGGGGAAAGGGGGTAGCGTATTGTCTGTTGTCTGGAAGGAGTGCCAAAGAGAGTAAAAATGGAGAGTGGAGAGAGAGAGAGAGAGAGAGAGAGAGAGAGAGAGAGAGAGGGGGGGTGGGGGGAGAGGAGGGGGGGGAAAGAGAATTTGGCATGTTGATGTATCAATGGAATATTAAACAACAACAAAAACAGCAGCACCACCACCATCACCACCACTACCACCACTACCACCAACACCAACACCACCAACAACAACAACAGCAACAACATTTAATAATGACAAAACAGCAGTAACGACACCATCACCAACACCACCACCACCATCAACCACAACAAGTCTTTTCTTTAAAAAAGAAAAAGTCACACATATAGAGATATACTCACTTAAAGTCGCCCTGGCCACAAAGATTTCCATTGGAGTCTTGAGGGTAAATCAGAAGCTTGGGGTTACCGTACAAAAATGCTGAGGAAGGAGAAGGTTGTAAATATCTTTTATCCCCAAATCGACACAATTCGTTAGGAGGGAGCTGTGTCCCCCTAATTTTTCTAAACTCCATCTACCTCTTTCTCTCTCTGTTTTTCTTCTGCCCCCACCCCCCACTCCTTCTTCCTCTATCCCCCCCCTC